TGGTTAAACGCCCCGACTTTATGGATAAGATTCAGCTAACCTGATAAAGGTGTTTATATATTAAGCTGTCTCTCTAGAGCAATTGGTTAAACGCCCCGACTTTATGGATTCAGCTAGCCTTTTAATGGCAAATTTAAATAAGGAGTTTCAGTAAAATGGACTAAGGGAGCTAAGGAACACCTGTTATAGTCAAATACACACGAGCACTCAAGAATTTCATTTTTAGACCGATATTTCTACACTACCTTTATTAGAAGTAGAAGAGCTTACAGAACTTGAACAAATGGAAGATTTCAGAGGACCGAAATAGAAGGTCTAGTAATTGATCAGGCTAGCTGCGTCATTTTGTCCGCATCCAATTAAAATGCCAAACCAAAGAAAAGTCTATTGCAATAACCAAAAAAATGACCCTTTTATGGCTGAAACCTTAGGTCAACCTAAAGACAACTCATCCATTCGAACATTTGTTAAAAAGCTATAACTCTAAAAACATTAAAAGAGTTATTGATTCCTTTGATATACTTTGAACTCGTGTTTATAATTTGATTCAATTACGAGCCTGAATTAAGGAATAATATTTTCCAGAATTTTTATCATTTTCTCTCCTTAAACAAGAAAAATGAGAAAAACATTTTCAAACAGAACAGTCTCAGACATGAAAGGTCTGTAAAGCCAAAGCTTGAAAGGAGATTGGGGCATGATCGATTCCAAGGACTAGATTGACAGACAAAGCACGAGACTCCATCCAGGAGATAACATATAATTCATTCATGTTACATGCATCTTAGCCATACTTAGGTGCATCACATTCATCATTTTAGCATACATGATTTTTTGTAGCTTTTAAAGTCAAGTTTCGACTTCAGGACGAAGGATACTCGATTCGCAAGCGCTTTTAAAGAACGATGGTGGTTGCTTAACTCAGTAATGAGAAGCTACACCTCAACCGACATGAGGGGCCATCTGCAATTCAATTCGACAAGGAGTTATTCTTGAACTCTACCGAACGAAAATTTGTGTCTTTTTATCTTTGTCATATTTTTCGTTCTATGAAAAAGGACAAAGAGGGGCAACTGTAGACACTCATTTTCATCCATATTTATTTTCTTTTCTTTTCTTTTATACATATATATATCTATACATATATATTATATAGTTTGCAAAATTGTTTTGAAAATACGTATATAATATATGATTTTTTTTAAAAAAACATTTTGGAAATGTATATAATATATAGTTTTAAAAAAAATACCTTTGAAAACTATATAATATGTAATTTTTAAAACATTTTTAGAAAGCATATATAATATATAATTTTTAAAACCATTTTGAAAGCTTATATAATATATAGTTTTAAGATCATTTTGAAATTTATATAATATATAGTCTTTAAAAACATTTTTGAAACATATAATATAGTTTTAAAACGTTTTTGAAAACTATAACATATAGTTTGAAAACATTTTTAAAATTATATAATATATGGTTTTGAAAATATCTTTGAAATATATATTATATAAAGTTTTAAAACTTTTTTTTCGTTATATATCATATAGTATTTTATTCTTTTTATTTATTATTTATTATTTACTTTTGTTTTTATTATTTATTTAATCATTTTTTTCGGTGTTTTTCCAGGTCCAAGAATCCAGTCCAGTGCACAGGTCAAACAAGTGGGCCTGAACCAACCCAATATCCTAAGGGTTTGGGAAACCCTAAGGTAACATGTCTCACAGCACTGCGCCGCATGGGAGGGCAACAAGGCCATTCAATAGTGTCACCAAAACGGCCGGCCGGATATCCCAGAACTTACCCATCCTGGGATGGTTGGCCAACCACGAATAACATTAGGCTCGAAAGGTACGAAAATGACCCCATCATCACCGGAAATAGCCCTGTTAGGGGGCTATATAAATACCAACAGAACCATCAACGGGGGGGAATCAACGATCAAACCCAAGAATCGATCACAACAGAGATAAACGACGAGAAAACAACAGTCGAACATCAATAGTATCAACACAGAATCAAAAGACGCAACAATAATAGAATCTTCGAGCCATAACCCATGGCCAGATCATCACACGAGTCACAACAGAACCCAAACACAGCAAACAAAAAAATCGAACCACGAGCCATTACAACATCAAAAAACTAAATACAATATAAAAAAAACCCAAAAGCATCAACATAGAAGCAGTCGAAGGCCTCTCATCGGAAAACGAACGGTCACTAGTGGAAAAGGTAAAAAAGTCGAAACTTTTCTTTTAGATCTACGTCGGAGGAGTTGTTTTTAGGGGATGTGGGGCTCAGTTTTGGTTTAAGGGTGTTGTAGGGAGCGTTTCGGTGGGTCTGGGTTTTTCTCGGCTGTCAGAGATGGCGGCGTCGGGCGGCGGTGGCCGGCCATTACCTCCGGTGGAGGCATTTTAGAGAGAATGGAGAGGAAAATTTGTTCTCTCTTTCTTAGAGAGAGAGGAGGAAAAATGCAAATGAAGAGAGAATGGGGGAATAAGCCTATCTTTAGGCTTTTATAGTCCACGGGAAACGACGTCGTTTTCCCAGGGACTGTTTGCGTATTTTTTGTATAGGCTAAATTCATTACAGGTCCCTCGGTATTTGTATTCCTACTATGGAAGTCATGAAATGAAGTCTTATGTTATTTTAATTTAAGCTATTAGTTTTAGTCATTATTATTTTAGTCATGTTTTTTTGTTTTATTTCTCTTTGTGTTATTACCTGAATTTAACCCCTAGGTTTGTGTATCCTCTGTTTTAGTCATTATTTTTCTTTCTTATTTTTTCTTTTATTTTTTTTGACTTAGACACTTCTATTTAAATTTTGGCATTTTGATCTTTCTTTTATTTTTATTTGTTTTTTTGGGTTTTTTTAATATTTTTTTAATATTTTTTCTATCTTTTCTTTATATTTAGCCTTTTTATTTATTCTATTTTTATTTTGATTCTTCATTTATTTATCCATTTTTCTCTTTTTATTTCATCTCTATTCCATTTATTTTATTATTATTTTTAATTATCGTTTATTTATCATCTAATAGTTTTTAACTTTTTAGGGATAATTTCAATCGATCAAAGGTAAGTAATTTGAATCGAGTAATTTATATTTTAATTTTAATTTTAATTTTCGTAATTAAAGGCAACCGATAAATTAATTGGTACCGAAAGGGCGGTTCAAGGGTGTTAATCCTTCCTTGACCGTAATCGACCCCCGAACCCGACACGTTTCTGGTACAACGCAGATCAGGTAAGATGGTGTTCGACCCACCTAAATTAGTTTTAAAGTGGTCGGTGGCGACTCCAATTTATTTAATCCAAGTCGAAGCCCAATTCGGGGCCCAACCGAAAGACGATTCCGACAATATCGTATATATATTTTTAAAATATCCAATGCATTCGTTCTTTGATCAAATATGCATTTTTTAAAATATTTAATATGGTGCTTATACTTCATCAATGTGTCTAATATGTTATTTGAATCATCACTTTACGTATTATTATAAAATATGAGTTAATACCATTAGTTCGATTTACTTTCTCCATATCTCTTCTCCGTAAGTTGTGCATCTGTTACCTCGTCTCAACATATTGAAACCTCTATGTTGACTGAATCTTTTAGAGATTCTTATCCTCCAACCAGTCATATTTTTTATAGTCGCGTAGATCTCAGAGCCAAATTCATTGTTAGATGATCATATCAATATGTCCTATCAACCTACAAATAGCCATAATAATCTTAAGTATGACACTAATGCTAAGGACCATTTTAAAATCCCTCATGGAAAATTGAGGGAGACTTCAATTCTTCTCATTTCTTCTGCTCTTATTCTCAATAGAGAACATCGTTTGTCACCTTAAATAGGTCATCCGTAGTAAAAGTGCCAAATGCAACTCTTCACTGAAATAAAATGTGATAATCTTTTATAGTTGTCATAACTTAATTGTACCATCGATTAGGCCATCTGCAGCCCTCATCTCTACTCTACAGCATCTCTATCTTTACTCTAAAGATGAAACAATAATTCATCTCCAACACTATCTCTACATTACCACCAACTCTACTTTATTCATAATATTTAAATATTAGTATGTTTATTTATCTAATTTCAATGTATTTTTATCTATCTTGCAATTTAATATACTTGAATTTATTATATTATGTTTAATTTTTATTTTATTGTGTAGAAATCACAATAAAAAAACATAAAAGATAGAATAAGAGAAAATAATATAACAAAGAAAAGGAAAAGAAAAAGAAAATAACAAAATAAAGTAAAAAAATAACAAAAACCAAAAATAACAAAAATAAAATAATATGTAGCGCAGCTACAGTGCAACTCTAGATGCAGAGTATCACTGTAGTTTTTCTCTACTCTAGCGTTGAAAATGGAGATGGGTTGGAGTTGAAATTCATCTCCAAAGTGGAGATTTTCTCTACTTTAGCGATGCGCTAGAGATGATCTTAGTACACATCGTACTTGAACTATCGTTTTATATATTATATGATACATGAATTAATATTATTAGTAAGTACCAAATTAATCAATGAAAAATTGCAAAGTATTACAGTAAACATACAAAATAATAGTTGAATGATACTAAATATATTATCAAAATGTTATAGTAAACATACAAAATAGTCTCAATTTATCATCCTGAATTTTTAATGGCATCGCATGATTCTAGGGTTCTCCGAGCGTCCATTAGCGGGTCTAATGGGTTCTGAGATTTTTATTGTGTTCCGGTGACTTGTTCAGTTCTCTCTTTCTTCTTTTCTGTCTCCTCTTGTTCGGTTTTCTCCTTTTCATGGATTGGCGGAAATTAATCCAGGGTTCAACAAACCAACAACTCAACTATTTTCCCCCAAATGAGAAAAACGGCGTTCGAACGGTTCATCCTCCACCAGAAGTGTTTAAATGAGGAATCCCTGATTGGAAATACTCTCTTGTGGGTCAATTTCTGGGTGCAGCTCCGAATTTTGCAGCAATGAAAAAGATCATCATCAGTTTATGGAAATATTCACAGCAAGGTTCTAACGTTCAGGTCAGTTATGCTGGACCAAATCTCTATCTGTTTTCAATCGATTCTGATTCTGCTCGTGACTGGGTATTAGAAAATGATCCCTGGTACATCTATAATAAGCCTTTGATCCTTAGGCAATGGGAACCCAACTTGAAAAAACTTCATTTTGACCTAACCAAAATTTCAATTTGGGTTCATTTATACAATGTGCCACTTGAATTATTCACTAATGATGGTTTGAGTTACATTGCTAGCGCCATAGGGTTTCCTTTGTCAATGAACTCTGTCACAACCACTAAAACTAGATTGGAATTTTCCAAAGTCTGTGTTGAAATAGGGGTGTCTGATGTGATTCCTAAATTTATTGATGTTGTGCTTAACAATGGCCAAGAAACTTCTATTTTAGTAGAAATTCCTTGGCTTCCCCCATGTTGCAAGCATTGTAATTCTTTTGGTAATAGTTCTAAAAACTATAAAAACAATCCAAACTCCTCCCATACAACTCAAGTATGGAGGAAAAAGGATCCTTCAACCTCTGATTCTTCAGGAAACAATAACTTAGCTTCTTCAAATGAGGTGGATTCTGTCTCTGTTAAGGAAAATGTTGCTGGCAATTTTATTCCACCTCCTCTTCCTATTACTACCTCTTATTATACTTTTCCAGTAGAAGACACTTATCCATCTTCCTTACCATCTAGTATGGAAATTGAAAATGATCTTGCTTGTGTCTCTACTACTGAACCTGATTCAAATAAAGGTTCTAAATCTCCTATTAAAAAGAGTAGAGCAAGGCCACCTAAAGGCAAATTGGCCAAATCTTTAGCCGATTCAAGTAACCGTTTTGAGATCCTTTTGGTTGAAGAGACTACCCAAGCCTCAGAAACCATGGGGAAACAACCAAGAGTGGCAGCATCAGGTGTAACAGAACTGTTAAAAGACCTTAAATCTAAAAAGAAATCTCATCTTGATAAGGTGAAAAGTTTGTCAGTGGTTAGTAAAAAGGGGGATACATCCTCCTCAACACCAGAGAAATGAATGTAGCTTTTTAGAATGTTAGGGGATTGAACAATCCCCTAAAACAAAGTAGTGTCCTTAGAAGGGCAACCCAAAATAATGTAGATATCTTTTGCTTACTGGAAACCAGAGTTAAGGCTAAAAAATCTGCTGATATTTTTGCTTCCAAATTCAAGAATTGTAATGTCTTTTGTAATTATGACTTTGCTGTAAATGGTAGAATTTGGCTTATGTGGAAGAAAGGTTTAGACATCACACTTTGCTATGCTTTAGCTCAAACCATTACTATTGAATGTTCTTTCAACAATTCCAAGTTTCTGCTCACTGGGATTTATGGTCATAATGATGGAGTAGCTAGAAGAAGTCTTTGGCAGGACCTTCGACTCATTGAATCAAGGTATTATAATCATCCTTGGATCTTGGGAGGGGATTTTAATGTCACCATGTACCCTCAAGAAAGTTCTAATCATGAACAGTTGGGTTTGTTTTTTTTTTCCTCTGAAATGATTGATTTTCAAGAAGTTTCTCATGAACTCCATCTTCAAGATCATCCTTACTTTGGTCCAACTTTCTCTTGGAGCAATAAGCAAACTGAAAACTTCCTTGCTAGGAAACTTGATCGTTTTCTCATAAACCCTTTATGGTTTGAATTTTTTAACCATTCATTTGCTGAATTCCTAGCTCCTGGATCTTCTGACCATTACTTGGCTTTGGTGAATCTGAATAAAGAGATACATCTTAACAAACCTAAGCCTTTTAAATTTTTCAATTGTTGGACTCTTCATCATAACTTCTTGAATATTGTCAGTCAATATTGGTACCCTCCTTATCAAGAAAACCCTATGAAGAAGCTCTTCCTTAAGCTTAAAAGACTTAAATCCAATCTTAAGCAACTCAACAAGGAATCTTTCAGTGATATTTCTGCTAGGGTTAGGGAAAAGCAGGAATAGATTGAAAAGCAGCAACTACTTTCTTTAAGAGGTTTAGAGCCCATTGAAAAGGAACTCAAGTTGCAAAGGGATTTAAATGCTTTAGAAGAAGCTGAGGCGATGTTCTTAAAGCAAAAAGTTAAAACTCATTGGCTCAAAGAGGGGGACAAAAACTCTAAGTACTTCTATTCTGTTATTGCTACAAAGAATAAATGTAACACCCCAATTTAGGGGCTAAATTTAAGAAATTATAAAATGGTGAATTTAATTGATATTTGGAAGAAATTTGGGGATTAAATTGTAAGATTTCAAAGATGGCATACCGTTTTAAGAAGTGCAGGAAGTTCAGTGGCTAAACTCTTGGTTTAGCCATTTTTAATTATGAGATGTTATAAACCCCCAGACTCCCGTATGTTTCTGGAAAATTTTCCAGTTTTCCACTCCCGTTCTCCCTACTTCCAACTCCGATCTACTCGCCGTCCGACCTCCAAACGACAAGCCGAAACAACCATCGTGTTCGTTGTCAACCGAGGAACAAAACCCCTCAAACCTTTCGTCGTGAATCATCGCCGTTCGTCGTGAATTTCAGTCGGAAGTATCGTCGGTAATAACTCGGTTTTAGTTGGTTTTTCATCGATTCACGACGATCGGGTCATCCGTTTACGACACCTCCCGAACCATCGTGTTCCTTGTGCCGTTCCGAGTCCACCGGTGTTCTCCTTTTTCTCCGGCAGCGGCGGCGCGTTGGGAGGTGAACCGGTCAAACTTCCCGATTTGTTGAAATCGAGCTCTCCGCCGTTCAAAATTGTGAACCGAGCTTTGTAAGTATCTCGAAATCGCTCAAAATAATTTTTAGAAATTTTTCCGGGATTTTATCACTGTTCACGCGCCCCCACGCGCCGCCACTGCGCGTGGGGAAGGGAAAAGTGACCGGTTTGACCGGTTTTGGAACTGTTTTGACCGGTTTGACCGGTCACAACCCGACCCGACCCGTTGACCCGACCCGACCCGTTTACCCGACCCGTTTACCCGACCCGACCCGTTGACCGACCCGTTGACCCGACCCGTTGACCGTTGACCGTTGACCGGAGTTGACCACTGTTGACCAAAACTTTGACCGGCTTTGATCGGGCATTAAACAACCTTTGACTTCGACCGAGTATACCTATCCTGACATTTTTCGACGTTCCAAATCCGATTCCGCTGTCCGTTTTTCGAAATTCGAACCCGAAGGCCTCGAAATTGTCAGTCAAACCCGTTGACTTTGATTTTGACCGAAAATTCCAAATTTCTGAAAAGTCATATTTTATGCTTTCGACGTCCTGAATCTGAATCCGAAGTCCGTTTCACCAAATTCGAACCCGGTAAGCCGTCTTTCACTAATTTATCACCCGATTCGATCCGTTTATCGTAATTAAGCTCCGTTTCTGATATAATTTATGTTGATATGTATCTGAGGAATTATTGGAAGTTGAATTGAAGATCAAAGGCATTCGAATGGAATTTTTATGGTCGATCAGTATTGCACGGAAATTGAGGTAATACTTTACTACCTCTTTATGCTTTATGGAACATGTTGATATTGGTAAATGCATGAATAAGATAATGTTGGTCACTTTTGTGGAGTTGAATAATTTATTCACTCGATATGAATGTGGTAGAAATTCTGTAACTGAATACGGATCGAATGACTAATATAAGAGATTGAAAGATTGTTAGAATTAAATTACAAGTTTGTGGATAGTGATAAAGAAATCAGACATGGATTTGTAAATTATATTTTATATCATCAAAGGTTAAATGTTAAAGGTACTTGGATGGGAAATTATGAGAATACTTCGGTATGGTAAAAATACGAAATTACCCTTATATTGGAAAATGATAAGAATTGTCCCTGGAAGTGGATTAATAAATCTGAAAAGACATATTGATATGATAAATATATTGATGTGCATAAGAAATGATAGTTATACTTAGAAATTATGGATAATCGGTTTTTAACCCCAAGAGGGTTTATACAAGATACTAGAAGTGTGTTAAGGGAATTATTTCAAGATCAAAGAGTGTTCAAGAAAGCAATTAATCATAGGATCTCTAAATTATATTATTTTCGTTAAGAGCTAATATCGAACTTATCTGGTTAAGAAATTACGGAAATGCCCTTATGAGGTAGAATAGTCTGAGATGACTCTGAATGAGAAAATACTTAGAGGATTCGTACTTAACTCGATTAAGTATGGATTTAATTGTTAAGATCCCGACTTAGTGTAGGAAAATTCCTGATATTCCGTTTGTAAAGTCTGAGAAGACACTTGACCTGAAAATGTTCAAATAATGAGTAAATACTTGAAGAGTAATTTATCGGGGGTATTCTGCTATCAGAATTGTTCGAACGGACTGGAATAGATAATAAATTGGAATTAAATAATAAGATCGGATTGAGGAAAAAGATTGAAATACTGTGGATCTGTAAAATAACCAAAATACCCCTGTAATAGAAATGACCCAAGAGCATCACCAAGCTCAGGAATGATTGGATATCCTCGAGCTCTGAAATGAATAGAATAAAACTGAACATCAAATTTACCAAAATACCCTTATGGCCTAAATTAAGTAAATGTCTTGGATTAATTAAGGAATCCAAGTAAGCATAGGTATTGAACTACCTTTAAAGGTAATGGAAAACAATTTAAGTGAATAGATCAACCCTAAAGCTATGTCAATACCTGAATGACATAGATATTACTAGAACATGTGTTCGTCTTCTCAAGTTTGGCTCGATGATAAATTTTGGAAGTATTCAGCTCAGTTCTAGATCGTATTCAGTACTAAGAATTGGATGTTTGTTCGATAAATCAACCACGAAGACCAAATTGAATGGAATGGAAGTAAAACATGTATATGAAATTTAGGAACGTTTGAATTACTCTGGAAAATCATGAAGTAACTGGAATGGACATGACTGCTAAATGAACTAGGTAACCTCAATGACTGAGGATTTAATAAGTGATTTGGATAAGTCTGGAAACTCTGATGAGTTTACGTAGTGTACAATTACAATGGGTTATGAACAAATTAATCAAGTACGTCATCATTTTATGATATTGTGGAAGCGTGGAAATGAAATAAAAACATTGGAAGATTTATTCAGCGATGATTCCGAAAATGGTATGCGGACAAGAATTTGTGTATTAAAGAGTAAATACCCTAGAAGGAAAATGAACTGATCAGTCAACATAGATTGTTAAGGTTCTTAATCTTCGTTCTCAAGTTGTTCGATTATCCAATCAATTGACATGGATGTAAAGGATTCTGAATACCCTTCTAATTACGTATAGCTTCTGAAAACTGTCCGAATAAAATAATATCTTGATAATTCACATTCTGAATAACTGATGATTCTGTCAGTTAATGAACTCTTCCAATAGTGATTCTAAATTCCAACATTCTATCGACATACTGAAGAACTGTGTTTCTCTGCCTGATACAGTACCTCTAAATAATACCTGTAAACTCTGGTGTGTTCCCTAATTACATGAATATTTTATCTGATTTCAAATTTGAATTCTGTTATGATACCTGACCTGGATTCTGATCTGATATTGACATGGATTCTAATCTGATACATGATATGGATTCTGATATGATACTTGACTTGAATTATGTTTTGATTTTTGATATATCCGTTTATGGACGGAACATGTTTTACTGGGGGGGTAATGTTGGAGGAAGATTACTTGGAGGCTCCTCGGCTTTGTGCTCAGGGCCTTACTTGCAGGCTCCTCGGCTTTGTGCTCAGGACCTTACTGTTCGTGACGGGGTTGTATGGTTCTGGGAAACCTATACATTTTGTTCGTGACGGATGGGGGTATATATATATGTATTTTAAAAAGATCTGAAAAGTTACATAGTTTTTGGGAACACACTAGAAAACCTGTTCTGATCTCCTGAACCTAGACATCCGAAATATTTCTATCTGAAATGAATATTATCTGTCACTACCTGCGATATCAATGAACCTCAGCTCAGCCAAAGAAATCTGTAAATATCGGAATCAATAAGGAAAAATACGTTTATCTGTATCTGCATGTTCATCAGCATCTTCTGGTAGTTCTGTATTACTGAGCTTTCCAAAGCTCACTCTATTACTCACCTTTTCAGGTTAAAAGAATTGTACCAGTGCATCTATTGACTTCAGTAAGGGAGTTCGTTCGGCGTTGTTGCAGAGTATGGTACATGTGATTAGGGGGCATGTAATTGTATTTTGATTTATATACGAGTTTGGAAATCTGTTTTATTTTTAAATAGTGAAAACTGATTTTATAAGTTTACATGTTCCGTTAAAAAGTTTTTAATTTTCCGCTATTTTTACAGTGGGTCGCTCCGGTGGCCCTAATGTGACTTCCCGGATCGGATCGGGCTACCCCCATCGGTCTGGGGGGTTACAATAAAAAAGACACCATTAAAGCTATTATTGATGATCAAGGAAGGAGATTAGACACTGTCGAAGACATGTCCGCTGAGTTTATTAATTTTTTCAAAAACCTCCTTGGCTCAACCGATTCGAATGTCACTAAATGTTCTGTTAGCTTACTCAAAGATCTGCTTAATTCTATTCATATAAGTGATAACTATCAAGGAATTACTAATGAAGTCACTTCCCAAGAGATTTATGAAGCTATTTATAGCCAAGGTAACGATTAGGCCCCAGGACCCGATGGTTACACGCCTCTTTTCTTCAAGAAAGCTTGGCCTATGATTGGTGAAGAAGTGATTGAAGCCATTAAGTTCTTCTTCAAAGAGTTTTTTATTTATCCTGCTTTCAATGCAACTTCCATTGCCTTAGTTCCCAAAATTCCTAACCCTAACAAAGTTTCGGATTATCGCCCAATCTCTTGCTGCTCTGTCATCTACAAGGCTATCACTAAGATTATTGTCAAGAGAATCAATTTTTTGCTCCCACAGATGATCTCCCCTAATCAATCTGCCTTTGTTAAAGGGAGAAGTATTGTTGATAATAC